TGATTCTTACCTCAGGTGCAGTGAGTCCTGGGTCCAAATCCTGGGTAAGCCACTATGCACATCTGTGAAAGTTTTCTGATATACCTTTCTTGCCTTACTGTCTTATCAGCAAAGTGTAATTAATCTGCTAACAGGTACCTAGCCACGCTGTTTTGCGGTCATCTGTGGCTCTGTAAGTTAGGCCTCTGTGTTTGTCATCAGAAGGTCATACAGTAGGTTTATATCTCATGGTCAGCAACGCATAACCGTTGAGTAAGTTCCTTAAACCTAAAAAATGCTCTTGGGCATCAGATAAAAGGTTGACCAAGCACACTGACTACAAGCTTTATTCTCATCTGTGTCTTGTAGGAGAATAAGATCTGATATGTGAAAACTATAGAATTTCCTTATACCAGTACTTGTACTTGTATGAATGGCAAATAAAATATAATTTCATGATAATCTGGAGCCCTTAAACTCATGTGTTCTATTGATATCAAACATACAGAGGCAGGCTAGTGGAGTGCAGTTTTCACAAAGATGGGGAAAAAATCATTCATTTAGCAGAATCTTTTCTGTATTCATTGTGGATGCTGCAAGTATTTACACAAACAGTGTTTCGTAAGTCATGATACGCATTTACCACTGCCTTGTTAAGAATATGTGATTATCATCTCAGTAGTGTTATTGCTTCAGGTAATTGTCGTTTATGCCTTATGCATTGTAGGTGGACACGCTGCAATTGCTATGCCCCTGTCCAAATGTTCATGAACATATGGTTAATTGTGTAGTTGATTACAGAAGAGATAATTGTTTTCAGTAGATGTTATTTCTGTTGAATTGAGGAGAATGTGGCCTGTGCTGTGGGGGAATTTTGTGATTCCCTGGTGCTTAAAATGTAATGAGATCGCATCAGCTGAAGATTAACAGAGGTTTTCTGTGGTTAAGGGTTACTCCCTGAGTCAGCCATTTAATTGGTTATTGCAGGCCCAAGACATTTATAGCCATTTTAATGCGATGATAATCCAGACAACATCCAAAAACATAGACATTAGTATTTATAAGTCCCAGTGGTTAACATTTTTACTTTGTGCTATGCTTTGCATAAAAAGCTGTTTTTCCAATTTGTGATAATAATTATGGAAAACTCAAACAAAACTCAGTCATGACTTGATGGATAAATACCCAAAATGCATCTTTTTTTTAAGATCATTATGTCTTAATTACAACTTATCTTTATTTTTCATTACTTGACAAATCAGACAATCAGTGAGATGAAATGCTGATGAGAAAAATTATTTTCTTAATTTTTAATTAAGGATTTTTTTGTAGAGCATTATACTGTATGTCTGATTTTAAACAATTCTATGCTGCATATTTTGACATTTATACTTGAGTTTGACCTCTCTCAAATGAATGAAACTGCACATTTTTAAAGATTCTCTCATGGAATGGCAAACATCCAGGGAAGTGTGATGGTAGAATTACACACTTGCCTGGATGTTTGTCAGGCAGGATCTTGATCAATAATGATCTCTTCCTTCACCTGATGTAATCTGTGTGAATGGGGCAAGGCTGTACACCTAGTTTACTTAAAGCAAGTAATGATTGTTAAAGCTAACACTGACTTTGATGAATGTTCTCATTCATATGCAGTCAGTCTTAAAAGGACAATATAAATAGTAACAAAGAGTGCATGACAAGAAAGGAGATACTTGAGTCATGTGATTTTATCTGACAAGTGCTTACTGAAATGAAAATATGAACTTTTGAGGTATATGTTATCTACTGAGGATTAAAAATAAATACATACTAAAAAGCATACAGATTTCTGTATGTTACGTACAGTTTAGTATAAAATAAATTCACCAAGTTACTTCTCCGTTATCGAGAAAAACAAAGGAAAATAAACTGGTGTTCAACATCATATATTTTATACTAATTATGCATAAATTCGTATGCAGCAGAGAAAATGTGGCAGATTCTGTTGTACACTCAACAAAGAGTAAGCGCTGCAGTTAGAGCATGAAGAGAGAGGAAAGTCTGCCAGGTCACGCTGTCTTGACTGTTGATTTTCCACAGTGAATGTGTTTTACAAAAACTAATACTGGTAATGAGGCTTTTTGTCCCTTTTCCTTTGTTCGTTTGAAAATTGTAGGGTAGTGTGACTATTTGCATAAAGTTCTGTATTTATTTATTTTTTGTTTGTTTTTCGTTCATTCATTCATTTATTTATTCATAGTTTGTTCTAACAGATGCATGAAACAATATTAGCAGATTCCCCAAATTCTGTCTTTCCCCTTCTCCCTCACAACGGCAAAGTATTCAGTATTGACTCCACAGCGCTTCATATATTAAATATAAGACCTTAACATAAAATATTTAATTATCTTCCCCATTGTTTTCAACTAACCAGATGCGTTTTTCTCATTCCCACTGCAGCTCTTGCCTCCCCTCTTCATGCTTTTGGCATTTTTGCAAGTGTCTCTGTATGTCTAGAATTCACATGATTCAACTGAATTAAGTGAGTGTGATGGTTGCTAACCAACCTGAAAATGAAAACCACCACCATTCCATCCCTACCAAGCAGATATAAAATTTACATTTATATAGTCAATTTGATGCCTATAATGTCATGTCACTCAGTGTGGTTCAGTTAGTTGTCCAAGAGAGAGAAGTAAACCTCTTGGGTAAGAGGCAATAACGGATAAGGAGCCGTTTGGACTCGTCAAGACTGAACCCCTTGTCACTACTGAGGGTGGACCGCTATGGCATTTAAATGATGATGGAGTACCATAAAGATACATGGAAAACTTGTTCCCATAGAGACAGCAAAAAGATCTATGTGACACAGAAACAGAAAGATGGAATTTGAATTGATACAAAACTAAATGATGCTTTATTCACTATTTGTACAAACATGAGTACAGCTGTTTTGAAACTGTGTTTTGCATGTCCCATGTTCTCTCCTTTGATGTGTATGTTTATGTGTGACCTGGTGCCCCCGGGGTGTTTTGGGGCTGTGAGGGACCAAGCAGTAAGGCAACACAAACACAGGAACTTAATTAAAGAAACAGGGCTTTATTAACCCCCAAAATACAAACAAGATCTTAATAACCGGGCCCATAAAAGAGGTAAACAAAAATGAACAAAACTTAACATTACAAAGCAAAATATTAACTGAAACAAACTGACCTTCTAATAAAGAGACCTGAGGAAACATAGTGGTTTGGCCAAACCAATTAACACACAAAGGGGTAAACCGAATAATCACTACATATAATTCAACAGAGCAACACACAACTAAACCCCGACTCCCCCCTCTTGCCATGGCAGCACATGGTTTGCTCCTGCTCCAGGGGTTGTCCTTTTGAGAGATCTCCGCCCTCAGCCACACCTTTATGCTGCATAGAAAAGACCATCCCCCACAACCAAAGTAACTGCAAACCAAATGATTGTCTAAATTAATCATTGCACACAACCCTACAATATCAAAATATACTACCCCAGCCACAAAAGGCAAAAATCAACTAAGACCTATGAATTACTGTAAATAAAGCAAAAACATACAAAATAAATCAACTAAGGATGCAAGCATGTATCAGGTCTTACTGTGTGGCTGTGGCTGTTGCAAGGGCCCAGTGGAGACTCTGGCAAGGCTGGGGTTTGAACTGGTGGCCTTCTGATCACAGGAAAAGAGGCTGAACCCATTGAGCCACAGCTCTCTCTCCCCCCCCCCCCTACTGAAAATGTAGAGCTGAAATAAAACATAGCCATTTAAGGTTCAGTACAAGTGAAATACATTGGACAGCAAAATGGGTGATGTGTCATGGGAAGAGAAATAACCGTGATGAGAAAACAATGTCTGAGCGTATTGCCTGGGACCAAAAGATAAAATAAAATGCGTCTTATATTATTGGAAATGGCCACAGGGGGCTCCTTGGGCTTGTCACCAGAATTTGCCCCACCCAGGAACACCCAAACATGTTTTTGAACTTCAGGACCTACCTTTTAAATGTTCTAGGTCTTTTGAAAAAATATTTTTAGGCAGGATTCGTATTTTAGACTTATGCTTTTTCTGTGTTGGACAAGTAAAATCACACACATTTATGATGAATTTGTACTAAGTGAGCATGAATTTAAATGCTGGTCTGTTGAAAAACTATAGAAGTGTGCTGCAGTGTGTCTTATTTTTAGAGCACGGCTTAAGCTCACAGATTTTTTGTAAAAAAAACATCTCACCATTGATAATGTGTGAATGAGCGACGAGAACGATACATACAGCGTGGAGATCAGCTTAGATTGCCTGTCTACAAAGCATTTAGGATATTTCTGATTCCTGCTGTGTTTCAAAGCACTGCTGCAAATAAATGTGTAAATTTTCATGAAATCCCAAAGGAAGCAACATGAAAAGCACATTTTCCTAGAGTACATTTAATGCAAGAATTTGCTGTTAAGAAAATGACAGAAATGCTTACAAAATGCTTAACAAGTTAGACTGCTTTATGTTAATTATAGAATTTGTGACAAGTTCTCTTTGCTTTTAGTCACATAAAGCACACAAAGCAAGTAAATGATAGAGAACTGACTGTTCCTTTGGAATAAGAGTAGAGTTATTCATCCGTATAATTTCTTTGACTTTAAAAGTGTTTTTTTTTTTTTGCATCAATACTGTTAATGAATGTAGTGTGAATGTTCCACAACAAATCGTCTAAAAATGGAAAGCTTACTAATTATTGTGTCGAAGAATGCCATGGTTCATTCAGGCAGATTGCAGGTATCTTTTTGTTCCTCTTTACTGGCTCATTTTGAGGAGTGAAAGAAAATTAATTCTGGATAGAGGCTGAATTTGAATGGAAGCCAAGGACACGTGACCCAGATGAAATGTAATTAAATTACTAAATTCAGAGCTCTAAAGAATGCTATCCAAACAAGATAAAGAGCTGATCTCTCCATCCTTTAATGCAAAGAATACAAGGCATCTTTCATCTAACTGATTTCTTCCTTGTTCCATTCCCTAGATTGCCTTTTTGTGACTGATTATTTCACCCGGACGCCTCGCAAACTGAATGCTTTCCGGTCATTTGCCAGCGTAGAGTTATTCCACTTTAATGTGCCTGATGACACCATGATTGCTGTCTGGAATCTCATCACATTCAAGGAGCAGGGGGGCACATTTGGAGACAGCTGCCCTGATCGCAACGTGACTGTGTGAGTATGAAAAAACAAGGTATCAAGACCTCATTTTACAAAAGAGACACTGATTATTGATACTGCACAACACAACTTATTGTCCTGTGATTGTGAAATTTTTAGAAAGCTACTGATCTAAAGATGCACCCATCCGATACTATAATTATATTTAATATCTTCCACTTCAAACTGATACATTATTTAAGCAAAGATATGATATAGCTGTTAGCTATTTGTATTAAACAGATTTTTTTTTAGCTCAAAAGTATGGGATGAATATCTTCAGTTGCAAAATATGTTTTTCCCCCATATAAACAGGAATGAGGGATATGTATAATACATAAGAACCCCCACCACCACCCTGGGTCAGCAATTTTTAATATAAAATTGCACTATATACTGTCTTGCTGTTTTATATTTAAAATTTTGTATTGGATTGCCAACTTTGTCAAATGTAGCACCATCACCCCACGTCCGGTTCACCTCATTCCTATAAACAAGCTCAAATGCTCAGCAGCTGTCTGTTACCAGTTGGTGGCTGAGGAAACGGCCAAAGGAGGCTCTGAGGAACAGACTGGGATGGATATGTTCTTTGAGTCACATGGTGAAGATATTGAAAAATACCGTGTTACTTACTACAACTTCTGTGTGAATAACACAGTTCCTATAATTAAAAGCTATGGGCCAATAAAAAGCTATGGATTACGAAAGATCTGAAGGAATTTGCTTAATAAAAATAAGAGAGCATTTTGTTCTAAAAATAAGGAAGATCTGAGAGCAGTATATAAATGGCTGAAAAAGGGACTTTGTGAGGGGGGAGAAAACTACAAGGGGGAACTGGACCCGAACTACCACAGAACAACACCAAGAATTTTTCGAGCAAGACAAAGAAAATCAAAGGTTGCAAGAAAACTAGTCGCCTGGCACTGGGCTAATGAGATAAAACATTGTTTCAACGGGAGGTTACATCAGCTCCCTGCCTGGCTCACTGTCCATCACATACCAGCATTAGCACATTTGCTATTACTCTGCTCTGGATTATCTATCTCCCCTAACAAAGGCAGAAGAGAGCCAAGGAGGATCCATACAGACAAGCCTCCCGGGATTGATGGGGTTAGCCCTGCAGGATCCCTCAAGGGCTGCTCCAATAGGGGGATCAGCGAGAGTACAGGGAGCTGAAATCCCTTGTCAATCAGCTGTCTGGAATCCTCCAGCTCCTCTTTGCCCTCACCTTAACATTACCGACAATTCCCCAGCCGTATAGTCCCTGTGTCTAAGAAGGCAAACACCAGCAGCACAAGCCAAAAACTCCCAATCAGACTATTATGAAAACTTGAGTGACTAACTAGAACCCCTGCAGTTTATCTGATGGGCGCAGTTTTTTTTCTTTTTCTTTTTTTTTGCCGGCAATAATATTCAGCCTTGCCTACTGGGAGATGAACTCATCAAGATGAACATCAACGGCCCTATGGTATCCTTAATCACCAACAATCTGACTGGCCAGCTTTGGTTTGTGAAACTGCAAGACTGTGATCCTAGGAAGCTTGTCGGGAGCGCAGGGGGCCGATGATGAGCTGTCTTATCTCCCTTCAACGTTTTATCTCAGATTTCAAATGCAACTTTGAGTCCTGTCATCTGCATAAGTTTTGACAAGACTCCTCCATTATGGGTCTCATTAATCAGAGGGAGTACAGGAAATTGGGACTTTGTTGCATGCTGTGGTCACAATCACCCACAAATAAACATTAGGAAGACTCAAGAGCTGGTTTTAAGCATTCTTTGTACTGGTAAGATCACTATACACAAAGAAGTTGCGGAATACAAATGCCCAAAATGGGACAAATAACATAGATGTGCTCTAAAGAAAGGACAAAGCAGACTTCATTACGTCATTTTCGAAATTACCCTGATGTCCTGTATTTTCTGCAAACAGATTTTTGGCCATGTTTTACCACACTAGTGCCAATTTCCTTTCCATAGTGGAGGGGAAAACATCAACTCCACCTTCTGAATAAGCTCGATAAAAAGGTTTAATAGAGGCTGTCTATAGCAGAAGAGATTATGAAGGGTAAATAGCATATATTATAAACATTCTGATCCTCTCAACAATATACTTTCTTGGAGTGCTATTACTACGGGTGTAACAATACATCGATTTGTATCGATATAGCGATTCAACCGCAAACGATCCGATACATCGATGTGACCACATAAATATCGATACATGCGTTTTTATTTTCTCACCTGTTCCAGTATTGTTTTCATGATCCACTCCGACGTATACATGGTCTACGCCCAATACGTCGATTGCGACCTACTGGTCGATTGCAAAGGTAGAGTGGGTAGATCATATGGCATAAAAAATAGAGGATGGATGACGCGTTCAACCGCGCCAGCTGCTGCAAGCTACCGATCGAGTCGCCTAGTTAGCCTCCAATTTATTTCTACTAAACTTAAGAAAGGGTATAAAAATGAATGGGGGAGCTGGACCAAGTAAGAAGCCAAAAACCTACCACTTCCATACGGAATGGGAGGAGGACTTTCTTTTTTCCACCATGTCATATTCGAAGTGCGTTTGCCTCTTCTGTCAGTCTACCATTGTGGAGCAGCATTTTCGGACTGTTCATCAAAACTACGACATTAACTTCCCTCCGAAAAGCGAGCTCAGAAGGAGAAAGTTGAAGGAACTAAAATCCCAGTTCAATTAAAAAATACTTTATTCATCCCAAAGGGAAATTATTATTATTATTATTATTATTAATAATAATAATAATAATAGTAGTAATAATAATAATAAATATTAAAGAATACTCAATATTTTATACATAAATATATGTTTTGCATTTTTATAGTAGGTACATCATTTTGACTTGGTCATTTATAAGTAGTTCGCAAGCTAGCGTACCTTCAGAGCGTGTGTTTAGTATGGCAGGTGACATAGGACGCTATGCTCAGAGCACACAATCTCCTGAACACGCTGACCATTAAATTTTTCTTTAAAAAAAAAAAAAAA